ATGACGTAGGTAACAATATCACAATAACGTAGGTAACAATATCACAACGGTGTAGGTAACAATATCACAACGACATAGGTAACAATATCACAACGACATAGGTAACAATATCACAACGACGTAGGTAACAATATCACAATGACGTAGGTAACAATATCACAATAACGTAGGTAACAATATCACAACGACATAGGTAACAATATCACAATGACGTAGGTAACAATATCACAACGACGTAGGTAACAATATCACAACGAGGCAGGTAACAATATCACAATGACGTAGGTAACAATATCACAACGACATAGGTAACAATATCACAATTACACAGGTAACAATATCACAATGACGTAGGTAACAATATCACAACGACATAGGTAACAATATCACAATGACACAGGTAACAATATCACAACGACATAGGTAACAATATCACAATTACACAGGTAACAATATCACAATGACGTAGGTAACAATATCACAACGACATAGGTAACAATATCACAATGACGTAGGTAACAATATCACAACGACATAGGTAACAATATCACAATGACACAGGTAACAATATCACAACGACATAGGTAACAATATCACAACGACATAGGTAACAATATCACAATGACGCAGGTAACAATATCACAATGACGTAGGTAACAATATCACAATGACGTAGGTAACAATATCACAATGACGTAGGTAACAATATCACAATGACGTAGGTAACAATATCGCAACGACGTAGGTAACAATATCCGCACGGCTTACCGGCGCTGTCCTCTGGTACACATTTATTTTGCTTTTTTTTGTTTGCGTTGGCGCGGTGGGGGGGTGGTGGGACGGGGGGGCGGTGGTCGCGTTGCCTCGTCACCTCCGCTCCTCCTTACCCGCTGCTGGAGCAGCAGCAGCAGTAGCAGCAGCAGTAGCAGCAGCAGGCGTGCTCGATCTACTGCTGGGTGGATGCTTCCACCATCCCCTGCACCACCCCCCCCCCCGCCGCTCAAGCACCACTCCCAGTACCCTCGCCACCACCGGCCAGGCCGCCACCTTCCGCCATCGCGCGATGCGAACGGTCCGCCCGCGGAGGTGACACTGTACCGTGGCCACGGCGCTGTTGGCGAGTTAGCACCGGTGAAGGCTGGCTGGGTTGGTGGGGTGGGTGGGTGGGTGGGTTGGTGGGTGGCTGTTTGGGTGGTTGGTGGGGGTGGGTTAGTTGGTGGGTGGGTTATTTGGCGGGTGGGTGGGTGGGTTGGTGGGTGGGTCATTTGGTGAGTGGGTGGGTTGGTGGGTGGCTGTTTGGGTGGATGGTGGGTGGGTTAGTTGGTGGGTGGGTTATTTGGTGGGTAGGTAGGTTAGGTGGTTGGTGAGTGGGTGGGTTGGTTGGTGGGTGGGTGGGTTGGTGTGGGTGGCTGTTTGGGTGGTTGGTGGGTGGGTTAGTTGGTGGATGGTTTAGGTAGTTGGTGAGTGGGTGGGTTGGTTGGTGGGTTGGTGGGTGGGTCATTTGGTGGGTGGGTGGGTTGGTAGGTGGCTGTTTGGGTGGTTGGTGGGGGTGGGTTAGTTGGTGGGTGGGTTATTTGGTAGGTGGGTTGGTGGGTGGGTTAGGTGGTTGGTGGGTGGGTCATTTGGTGAGTGGGTGGGTTGGTGGGTGGCTGTTTGGGTGGATGGTGGGTGGGTTATTTGGTGGTTAGGTGGTTGGTGAGTGGGTGGGTTGGTTGGGTGGTGGGTTGGTCATTTGGTGGGTGGGTTGGTTGGTGTGGGTGGCTGTTTGGGTGGCTGTTTGGGTGGTTGGTGGGTGGGTTAGTTGGTGGGTGGGTTAGGTGGTTGGTGAGTGGATGGGTTGGTTGATTGGTGGGTGGGTCATTTGGTGGGTGGGTGGGTCATTTGGTGGGTGGGTGGGTTGGTGGGTGGTTGTTTGGGTGGTTGGTGGGGGTTGGGTTAGTTGGTGGGTGGGTTATTTGGTAGGTGGGTTGGTAGGTGGGTTAGGTGGTTGGTGAGTGGATGGGTTGGTTGGTGGGTTGGTGGGTGGGTCATTTGGTGGGTGGGTGGGTTTGTAGGTGGCTGTTTGGGTGGGTTATTTGGTGGGTGGGTTACTTGGTGGGTGGGTTATTTGGTGGGTGGGTTATTTGGTGGGTGGGTGGGTTAGGAGGTTGGTGGGTTGGTTGGTCGAACGCCCTCTTTGAGATGCCGTCATCCCCATCCCTCGCCTGCCGCTCCGTTCATTTTCTCTCCACCGCCGCACCCCATCCGGCAAGCCTTGCTACAACCATCGGTCATGATCTATCCTCTGCTGCACCACCCGGCCCACACGGTGATCCCGCTGTTGGGGTAGAGTGCTGTTCACGAGCAGCAGCAGCAGCAGCAGCCTACGTACGAAGGCCGGCACAGCGCACGTGACGTGGTGGATTGCCAGCACCACGTGCTCTTTTGAGGCCGAGTCGACCTAGGGGAGTCCCAGCACCTGTTCAGATAATCGTCGGTGGCTGTGAGCGGGAATCGAACTCGGATCGCCAGGGGTTAGCTGCGGCAGCGCTGCCGCTCCCCCACACGCTCGCACTCACGAGACAAAGATCCCCCGTATAGCCTTCGACGCGCTGTCGGGGCAAGTGCTGTTAGCGAGCAGCAGCAGCAGCAGGAGCAGCTGTGAAGGACTGGACGGCACACGAGGTGGGGCCGCTCGCCCGGGGGCCGCCTTTGTCTCCCCGGAGACGACGTTACCCACACACGGCACCCAGGCGCTCGTTTGAGGAGGCCCGGGGCTAAGTTGAGAGGTTGCCGGGTTCCCGGCACGGCGTGAGGCTGTCGCTGAGCGGTTGGGTCAAGCGGCGTTGGCTACCTGCGAAGGCTGGCTCGGCACACGAGGCGGTGGGTGCGGGGGACGTGTGGGGTGGGTCGTGTTAGTGGGGGGGGGGGGTTGATGGTCCGGGCGAGAGGTCAAATTCTATTACAGGACGGGATTGAAGGTTTAACCCGGGGTCTACGTTGCCAAGGAATTGGCGCGGGGTTCGGCCAATCGCAGGCGTTGAGCGAATCGCTTTGCCGGGCGCGAAGGGGAGAATCTCATCACGGGGTGGTGGTGGTGGTGGGGGAGGGGTCGCCGGCGTTGTCGGAGATTGTGTCGTCGCTTTCGCTCGGTATGACGAGGCCTTCCCTGCCGGAGTGACGGGCGTGGTGACGCGCCGCTGACCTTTAGCGCGTACGGATTTTAAAAGCGTTGTGTCGGACGATGCTGCCCACCGCCGCTTCGGCTTCTCCTGCCGCTGCCGCTGCTGATGCCGCTGCTGTTGCTGCTGTTGCTTCTGCTGCTGCTGAGTCTATGGTGGAATGTTGAGTCTATGGTGCAGTGGTGAGTCTACGGTGCAGTGTTGAGTCTATGGTGCAGTGTTGAGTCTATGGTGCAGTGTTGAGTCTATGGTGCAGTGCTGAGTCTATGGTGCAGTGCTGAGTCTATGGTGCAGTGTTGAGTCTATGGTGCAGTGTTGAGTCTATGGTGCAGTGCTGAGTCTATGGTGCAGTGCTGAGTCTATGGTGCAGTGTTGAGTCTATGGTGCAGTGTTGAGTCTATGGTGCAGTGTTGAGTCTATGGTGCAGTGTTGAGTCTATGGTGCAGTGTTGAGTCTATGGTGCAGTGTTGAGTCTATGGTGCAGTGTTGAGTCTATGGTGCAGTGCTGAGTCTATGGTGCAGTGTTGAGTCTATGGTGCAGTGTTGAGTCTATGGTGCAGTGCTGAGTCTATGGTGCAGTGTTGAGTCTATGGTGCAGTGTTGAGTCTATGGTGCAGTGTTGAGTCTATGGTGCAGTGTTGAGTCTATGGTGCAGTGTTGAGTCTATGGTGCAGTGTTGAGTCTATGGTGCAGTGTTGAGTCTATGGTGCAGTGTTGAGTCTATGGTGCAGTGTTGAGTCTATGGTGCAGTGTTGAGTCTATGGTGCAGTGTTGAGTCTATGGTGCAGTGTTGAGTCTATGGTGCAGTGCTGAGTCTATGGTGCAGTGCTGAGTCTATGGTGCAGTGTTGAGTCTATGGTGCAGTGTTGAGTCTATGGTGCAGTGTTGAGTCTATGGTGCAGTGTTGAGTCTATGGTGCAGTGTTGAGTCTATGGTGCAGTGTTGAGTCTATGGTGCAGTGTTGAGTCTATGGTGCAGTGTTGAGTCTATGGTGCAGTGCTGAGTCTATGGTGCAGTGTTGAGTCTATGGTGCAGTGTTGAGTCTATGGTGCAGTGCTGAGTCTATGGTGCAGTGCTGAGTCTATGGTGCAGTGTTGAGTCTATGGTGCAGTGTTGAGTCTATGGTGCAGTGTTGAGTCTATGGTGCAGTGTTGAGTCTATGGTGCAGTGTTGAGTCTATGGTGCAGTGTTGAGTCTATGGTGCAGTGTTGAGTCTATGGTGCAGTGTTGAGTCTATGGTGCAGTGTTGAGTCTATGGTGCAGTGTTGAGTCTATGGTGCAGTGTTGAGTCTATGGTGCAGTGTTGAGTCTATGGTGCAGTGCTGAGTCTATGGTGCAGTGCTGAGTCTATGGTGCAGTGTTGAGTCTATGGTGCAGTGTTGAGTCTATGGTGCAGTGTTGAGTCTATGGTGCAGTGTTGAGTCTATGGTGCAGTGCTGAGTCTATGGTGCAGTGTTGAGTCTCGATTTCCCGCGACGGGGAACGTACTGTGGTGTCGCTCCGCTTTCCGGCGTGGATGTCTCGCCACTGCTGTGGCGGTGCGTTTGTGCGCGGCCGATGGTTTACACCACCCCCTCCCCCCCCTCCCGTCAAGTACGTTGACTCGGCTGCTCGTTGCCGCCTTGTTGACGCGTTGTTGATTTGTTGTTGACTCGTTGTTGACTCGTTGTTGATGCGGCTGCTCGTTGATTCGTTGTTGATGCGTTGTTGATGCGTTGTTGAGGCGTTGTTTCCGCCTTGTTGAGGCGTTGTTGATGCGGCTGCTCGTTGATTCGTTGTTGATTCGTTGTTGACGCGGCTGCTCGTTGCCGCCTTGTCTCTCCCCCCCCCCCCCCGCAGGTGGAGGAGCTCAGGAGCAAGAACACGATGCTGCGTGCACACTTGCAGCAGAACGGCATCACCGTGATGGTGTCCAGCCCGGGCCAGTAGCGGACTCCGCCGTACTCGCGGGCGCACGCACACGTACACACACACACGTACACACAGGCACGCACAGGCACGTACACACACACAGGCACGCACACACAGGCACGCACACACCGCGCACACACACACACAGGCACGCACACACACACAGGCACGCACACACACACACACACACGTACACAGGCACGCACACACAGGCACGCACACAGGCACGCACACAGGCACGTACACACACACACGTACACACACACAGGCACGCACACACACACAGGCACGCACACACACACACACCACACACACGCGCACGCACGCTCTTCTCTTTGGGGAGAGGGAGGGAGGGAGGGAAGGAGGGGAGGGAGGCCCCGCCTGCCCCCCCTAACGAGCGCCTGGTAGAGATTGTAGCAGGGTGGCATCGCTGATGTTTTACACTTAAACGTTTAAAGAAGAAAAACAATGATATATATAAAAAAGAGTTCCACGGATAGTAATCTCACGTTAATGATTGGGGTCCTCCCGCACACGACCACCACACCCCCCCCCGCCGCTCTCGTTCCGCGCTTGTAAGCTCCTGGGTCTTCATTGCTCTGTGAGGCCTGTGTACGTACGTGTGTACGTACGTACACACGTACGTACACACGTACGTGTGTATGTACATACACACGTACATACACACGTACATACACACGTACGTGTGTATGTACATACACACGTACATACATACGTACGTGTGTATGTACATACACACGTACATACACACGTACATACACACGTACGTGTGTATGTACATACACACGTACATACACACGTACGTGTGTACGTACATACACACGTACGTGTGTACGTACGTGTGTATGTACATACACACGTACATACACACGTACGTCCGCCCGTACGTGTACGCAGACAGACAGACACACACACACGTATATATATAGCGTAACGTGAACGGCCGCAATGACAATATTTAGCCCCAAAATCACAGCCGTTGAGCTGCTTTTAACGTCGGTGGAGTTTCTGTTTACTGCGGTTTTATTTTCTGTTTCTTCCTCCTCCTCTTCTCTCGCACGAAGACAAAGTCGGCGCTCCTCCGCGAGACGTTTCACAGACAGCGGGGGTCCGCCCCCCCCCACCGTAACCACCTCCCACCCCCCCCCCCACCATTCACCGCAAATTGTCAACAACAACAACAACAATGACAAAGCAACCTCGCCAATTAATTTTGATACGTCCCATGGATGCGGCACCGCATCTTCTCCCCCCCCCCCTCCCTCGCTCTCGAGCCCCCCCCCCCCCCCCCTTCTCGCCCCCCCCCCCCCTTCCTCCCTCGCATCAGCCAATCACCGGCTGCGATTCCACCGTTTAATTCGAATGCCACTCTTGATTCTGTCAAAACGATGAGTGAAGCCCTCTCTCGTTAGAAACGGGAGAAGAGTCGAGCCAGCTAGGCACGGGTAGATTCCCCAAGCACGTCAAAGGCGTGGGTTGGTGGGTGGGTGGGTGAGTGAGTGGGTGGGGAAGTGGGTGAGTGGGTGGGGAAGTGGGTGGGTGGGTGAGTGGGTGGGTGGGTGAGTGAGTGGGTGGGTCGGTGAGTGAGTGGGTGGGTCGGTGAGTGAGTGGGTGGGTAAGTGGGTGGGTGGTTGAGTGGGTGGGTGGGTAAGTGAGTGCGTGGGTAAGTGGGTGGGTGGGTAAGTGGGTGGGTGGGTAAGTGGGTGGGTGGTGAGTGAGTGGGTGGGTAAGTGGGTGGGTAAGTGGGTGGGTGAGTAAGTGGGTGGGTGGGTAAGTGGGTGGGTGGGTGAGTGGGTGGGTGGGTGAGTGAGTGGGTGGTTGAGTGGGTGAGTGGGTAAGTGAGTGCGTGGGTAAGTGGGTGGGTGGGTAAGTGGGTGGGTGGTGAGTGAGTGGGTGGGTAAGTGGGTGGGTGAGCGAGTGTGTAGGTGGGGTGGGTGAGTGGGATAATGAGTAGGTGAGCATGTTGATTTGACACCACGCAAAAGCTGTGGGTGGATGAGCGAGTGTGTGAGTCTATCGGTGTAACTTCCATCCAAAGGTGTGTATGAGTGAGCGAGCGAGCGAGCGGGTGAGTGGGACGGATGCGTAGGTGAGCATGTTGATTTGACACCACGCAAAAGCTGTGGGTGGGTGGATGAGCGAGCGGGTGTGTGTATCGGTGTAACACCGCCCACAGGCGTGGATGATTGAGTGAGTGGGTGACTGGGTGCGTGTGAGTGACTTAAAACACCGTACAAAAGCATGACCGAGTGTCCAGGTGGGTGGCTTGGTTTGGTGAATTCGTGAGTGGGTGAATAGGAAAGGGGGTGATCCCATCTCTGACTCTATTTTTCTCCGGTGGGGGCCTCCGGATTTCTTTTCCCCTCGGCGTGTTTAAGCGTCAACATCGCGCGTTTATAGAGTATTTGGCTGATGTGCATTTCCACGTGATGGTGATGGTGATGATGATGGTGATGATGGTGATGATGGTGATGATGATGATGACGACGACGACGATGAGGCCACTTTGTTGAGCTGTCGTTTTTGTGATAGCCAGGGTCGCTCTGTAGCCCGGGTGAGGGCCTTGCCTGTTAACCATGGACAAACAAAACGATTGCCTTCTTGATTTGAAGCTTTCGTGACTGCAGGAAGTACTCTTGGGTTCTTTCGGTGAAGTCACGGAGAAAGAAAATAAATTAAATGATAGAGTACGGCGTTTGGATTGCAACGCAAGCAATCGTCATCAGGTAGAACTACATTTGAGAGAGAGACAAAAACACAGACACGGAGACACACACAGATAGACACACAAGCAGAGAGAGAGACAACACAGAGACACAAGCAGAGAGAGACAACACAGACACACAGAGAGACACACAACATAGACACACAGAGAGACACAAGCAGAGAGAGAAAACAGAGAGACACACAACATAGACACACAGACAGACACAGAGAGACAACACAGAGACACAGAGACAAGCAGAGAGAGAGAAAAAACACAGACAGACACAGACAGACACACAAGCAGAGAGAGAGACACAGAGAGACAACACAGCGACACAGAGAGAAACAGAGAGACAACAGAGACACAGAGAGAGACAACACAGAGACACAGAGACACACAACAGACACACAGAGAGATAACAGAGACACACAGAGAGAGACAAACAGAGAGATAACAGACACAGAGAGAGACAGACAGACACACAAGCAGAGAGAGACAACACAGAGAGAGACACACAGACAGACACACAAGCAGTGAGAGACAACACAGAGACACACCGAGACACAGAGAGACAACACAGACACATAGACACACAGACACAGACAGACACAATCAGTGAGAGACAACACACGGACGGTGTCTATGTTCAGCATCTCGCTAATGACCACCACCCACCCGGTCCGGCAAATCGCGGTGCAAACGTCACCCCCCCACACCCACCCCCCAACGTGCATCGGTGTGGGTGCCACGGTGTGCTAGGAGATGTTAACTTTCCTACTGCCTGGTACGCAGGAGGTCGTGGCTTCGATCCCAACCCCTGCTGTGTGTTTGGAGTTTGCGTGTGTGTCTCTGTCTCTCTCTCTCTCAGCTCCCACCGTGGTCGCGTGGATTTTTTCTCCCAGTCCCTTTTTTTCCCCTCATCCAGATTTCGAATCGACGTCAACCACGCGTTTAGAGCATTATTTGTCCGCTACCAAGTTTATGACGATAAGTCGCTTTTCCTGTTGAGCTGTCATTCGTGATGGGCTGGTCGCTTCTGAAGAATAACAACAAAAAGAGCTACGTTAGCCCCAAGTGGGGCTTTACCCGGTTAAAATAAAAAAGTATATATTTTAGTTTGTATAGTTGGAGTTTGCGTGTCTTTCTCTCCTCTCCGTGTTCGTGTGGATTTAAAAAATTTTCTCTGCCTGCGCTCCGTTTTTTTCCCCCTCCGCATTCAGAATCGACGGGACGCGTTTGTACTATTTTGGCAGCCGTGAATTTAATTTCCAACTTGGCGAGGATGATGATGACGATGACGATGGGTCCACTTCGTGCGAGCGATCATCCGTGATGTCCAGGTCGCTTCTGAAACGAGATCTACGTATTCTTGATTCTTTCGGTAAAGTCACGTAGAAGGGGAGTAATGACAATTGCGGGTGTTGCAATCGAAACGCCGTGAGAATTTTATCGTTTTATATATATATTTTTAAATTACTTTATTGTTTCCCTTCTAACGTGGTGGTGACTTGACCGAGAGAACCAGGAAGATTAATCCCCTGCAGTCACGAAAGCTTTAAATAATTTTTTTTAAAGATCTGCGTAGCTAAGTGGTCTCCTTACCAAGCCAACTTGAAAAATAAAAACTTTAGTTTTAGTTGGTAAGTGTTAATTAAATTTCGATTTAAAGCTTTCGTGACTGCAGGGATTCATATTCCTGGTTCTTTCGGTAAAGTCACCACCGCGTAGAAGGGAAACAATAAAAATAATACAAATATCAAACAATAAAATTCTCACGACGTTTCGACTGCAACACAAGAAGCAATCATCATCAGGTGTGAAAACCACAGCAAGAAAATTTCTTACCGAAAGAACCGAGAATAAGTTTTTATTAGTTTGAACAGTTTCAACATAGTTACGCTCGACTTCAAGGAAATGCAAAAAAGAAATTAGTTTAATGAGCTTCGTGCAAGATAAAACTCGGATCTTCGACGTTGGGTCCTTCATCATCGACTTCGTCATCACCAGTCACCACCAGTCGTCACCACCAGTCACGACCAGTCACCACCAGGCATCATCAGTCACCACCAGTCACCACCACTCACCACCAGTCACCACCAGTCATCACCAGTCACCACCAGTCATCACTAGTCATCACCAGTCATCACCCCTCACCACCAGTCATTAACAGTCATCACCAGTCATCACTAGTCATCACCAGTCACCACCAGTCACCACCAGTCATCATCACCAGTCACCACCAGTCATCACCACTCACCACCACTCACCACCAGTCATCACCACTCACCACCAGTCATCACCACCAGTCATCATCACCAGTCACCACCAGTCATCACCAGTCACCACCAGTCATCACCACTCACCACCAGTCACCACCAGTCATCACCACTCACCACCAGTCACCACCA